CCCTGAGCTTCCGACCTTGCCTGCACCCCCCTGCCTGCTGCCCTCCTTGCTGCCCCCACTCCACTCCACTCCACTCCACTCCACTCCACTCCACTCCACTTCACTCCACTCCACTCCACTCCACTCCACTCCACTCCACTCCACTCCACTCCACTCCACTCCACTGCACTCCGCCCCACCTTGGCAGTGCGCTGATCTGCCTGAAGAACGCGCCCAAGCTGAACCCCAGGAACTTCCACGCACTCACCAAGCTGGATGAGAACCGCGCCAAGTGCCAGGTGCGTGCATGCGTGGGGGGCGGCTGCTCTGGCGCCTGCTGCGTGCCTCGCCAAGTGCCAGGTGTGTAGGGGGCGGCTGCTGCGTCGGAGGCTGATGCGGCTGGCGGGGGAAAAGGTGGGTGGGGATGGTGGGTGGGGATAGTGGGACCGCATGTGCACGTGTGCCTGCTGCAGAGGCCCTCTGGTGGTAAAGACCCTGTTGATATAGCATTGCTTGCTACAGTCCGCGTTTGAGCCACCTCAGGAGCACTGTCATCTCCTCCTCTCTCCCCTCTCTTGAGCGTCCTTTCACCACCTTTGATGAACACCGCTTTTCAGTCGACGCAAATGCCTTTCCCTCGTGTTCTATGCGCTGTACCGCCATTGATACGCATTTCCTCCCACCTTCCTCCCTGCTATACTCTCTCTTCATGCCTTTCCATGGCTGTTTGTTCATGTCCGTCTGTTCATGCATGTCTGTCTGTGTGTGTGGGTGGGTGTGCGTGGTCACAGCTAGCGTTGAAGGCGGGGGTGTTTTACGAAAAGATATCCAACATGACCATCTGGGGCAACCACCATGCTGACCTGCTCTCCCCCCTCTCCCCCCTCCTCCCCCTCTTCCCCCTCTCCCCCCTCTTCCCCCTCTTTCTCTGTGCGTGTTGTCACAGCTAGCGCTCAAGGGGGGGTGTTTTACGACAAGATATCCAACATGACCATCTGGGGCAACCACTCCACCACCATGGTGCGCCACGTCACAATCCTTCGGGGCCACACTGACCACACCACACCACACCATACCGCACCATACCACCATGGTGTCACCATGATTATACTGACCTGCTATTCCACCTCTTCCTCAGCTTTTCTCAAAATCTCGACCATTCCTATTTTCTCTCCCCTTTTCCATTTCGTCTTGGCCCTATTCTCGGTGCTTCTCTCCTCGCCTATCCCTTATCTCCTCTACTTTGTTTGTGCTCGCACTCAGACCTCCTTCCGCTCTCGAATCCCCTCATCTTCATCTTCTCCTCTCCCTTACCCACCTCTTCCAACACGTACCTGGTTTCGCAAATGCTCGCATTCTTGGCGTCCCAGCAACACTCCTCTCCCCACTTCTCACCTTGTCACCTTCATCCCTCTCGCCCCTTCTCACCTTCACCGTCTCACCTCTTCTCACCTTCACCCTCTCGCCCCTTCTCCTCCCACCAGGTGCCTGACTTTGTGAATGCGCGCATTCTGGGCTTCCCGGCAACGGACGTCATCCGCGACCGCAAGTGGCTCAAGGAGGAGTTCACCCCGCAAGTGCAGACGGTGGGTTGGAGGGATGCACGGTGGGTGGAGAGGTGATGGGTGTGCGAGGGGTTAGGGCATGCTGTGGCACGGGTTAGAAGGCTCATCACCGCAAGTGGCTTGAGGAGGAGTTCACCCCGCAAGTGCAGACGGTGGGGTGGGGGGATGCATGGGTGGGCGGGAGGGGTAGGGTGGAGAGGACCGAGAGTGCCATGAAGGGGGGGAGAGACATGGGCGGTGCATGGCGGGAGCAGTTCACACCGCAAGTGTAGACGGTGGGTGGGGGGCCAGGGTGGGGTGGAGAGAAAGGGCTTAAATATTCAAGTGGGTGGCAGGGCGTGGCATGTGCCGACTTTTGAGGCGCCTCACAAGTGGGTGGCAGGGCGTGGCATGTGCTTACGTCCTTTCCTCATTCTTCCACTCCTCACTTCATCCTCCCTCTACCACTACCCATCCCCCCTCTTCCCCTTCCCCCGTCCTTCTTCCCACAGCGTGGTGGCGCACTGATTAAGAAGTGGGGGTGGTCGTCAGCAGCATCTATCGCCGTGTCGCTAGTGAATGCCAACAAAGCGCTCACTCACCCTAAACTCTGCTCTCCCTGTGTGTGTACCTCTTCCCTCCCCTCTCCCTCTTCCCACAGCGTGGTGGCGCGCTCATCAAGAAGTGGGGACGCTCATCAGCAGCATCTACAGCCGTGTCCCTGGTGGACGCCATTAAAGCACTCACCACACCCACGCCCGAGGGCGACTGGTTCTCATCGGGCGTGTACACCAAGGGCAACACCTACGGCATCGATCAGGACATTATCTTCAGCCTTCCATGCCGCTCCAAGGTGCGTGCCATGCCATGCCATGCCATACCATGCCATACCTGCGAGTGTGCATGTGTGCGCGCGTCTTTCCCACCTATGAGCGCTCACCACGCCGACGCCCGAGGGAGACTGGTTCTCATCGGGCGTGTACACCAAGGGCAACACCTACGGCATCGATGACGACCTCATCTTCAGCCTGCCCTGCCACTCCAAGGTGCGTGCCACCTCTGCCATGCCATGCGTGCTATGACAGTGCCTGTGTGGCTGGGGTGGCTGGGGTGGCTGGGGTGGCTGGGGTGGCTAGGATGGCCGTTTTCCTCGCTCACTACGCACCCCATCCCACCCCCGCCCTTTCCTTGTATCATTTTGAGAGCTCTCGAAAGGTGTGGCCTGTTCAGTGTGCGCGGGTGGATTGCGAATGGCATATGCTGGCTTCAGCCAGCCGTGTTGCATCTAGGCGGAAGATGATGCTATCTCTCCCCCAGTCATTTACACTCACGAAGTTCCATGATTTGTCCCTCTGCCTTCCTCCCCTCCCCTTCCCTCCCCTCCACTCCCCTCCCCTCCCCTCCACTCTCATCCCCTCCCCCTCCACTCTAATCCTCTCCCCTTCCCTCCCCTCCCCTCCCCTCCCTCCCCATCCCCTCCCCGCCTGCATGCCACTCCCCATGGCTGGCTGGCAGGGCGATGGGGACTACGAGGTGGTGTCTGGGCTCATAGTGGACGATTACCTGCGCGCGCGCATCAAGAAGGTGAGATAGGAGGGAGCATTTGAGAGGAGGGAGCATTAAGGTGATGGGGAGAGAGAAAAGGGGGAATGTATGGATAAGGGGGAGAGGGTGAATAGTAAATCAGGTGAAGGGGAGAAAGAAAGGGGGGGGTGCATGGAGAATTGAGGGGAATCACAAAGGTTAGGGGGAATGCATGGAGAAGGGTGGTCGTGAGTAAGTTGCCTAGCAACGCCTCGCATGAAGAAGGTGAGAGGGGTGGAGGGAGCGATGGTGGTGGTGGTGAGCGAGTCGCCTCGCACGGAGGTGCAGGACCAGAGTGGATGAGTACATAAGGGCACACCCAAGAGTGAGGGAGACGGGTCTCCATGTGGCCCCATCCCACTCCACCCTCTTTTACCACCCACCACCCTCTCCCACCACCTTGATGCAGACGGAGGACGAGCTACTGGCGGAGAAGAAGTGTGTGTCGCACCTCATCGGCCTCGTGAGTCCCACTGCTGCTCCCTGCTCCGCTCCCCACGCCGCTGTGTCCGCCTGCCAGTCTGAAACCCTTCAGTTCAGCCCGCTGTCTCGGTCTCTGTCGAATCCAATCGTTATTTTTCCGGGCAGTGGATTCTCCGGCTTGCTTGCTCCGCAGTCTCCTGCTGCATTGTTGCAATCAATTGGTGGAGTCCCATGCAGACATGCACGCACGCACGCACCCGTGGATGCACGCATTCATGCAGGCATGCTCTCACACCACACCATACCACCTCTCCGCCCATGCATGTGTTGTATCCCCATGGCAGGACAATGGCTACTGTGACCTACCGGAGGGTGACACCATGCTGCCAGGAGAGCAATGATTGCCGTGCAGCATTGTTTGTCTTGTGCAGCGATCTTTGTTGTACAGCACACTCTGTCCTGTACCATATAGGCTCAGCTCTTATCCTCTCCTCTACACTCGTTCACTCTACTTGTTTCATCTCTACATAACTAGCAAGCAGGTTCTGCCCCCCTACTCAATATTGTTCTACTCACTGCTAGTACTTTATACCGTAATCATCCTAAGCAGGTTCTGCTTTCCATATTCTGTATCCTATGGAATGATGTATAATGTCAGTATGTTCTAGTGCTACAATAGTTCTCTTCAAATGTATAACCTCCTCATTATTCACAGGCATGCACATTAGAATTCGCATGGTACCCACAACCTCCACACCTCCCTCCCTGCAAACCACATGGCGTATGGACGACCAGGGCATGTCTTGGAGTGGCGTTTGAAGCTCCTCCAGTCACAGTCCCTGCACAGAGATACCTTTTGAGTCAACTCAAAGTCGTTTGAAGCTCCTCCAGACACGGTCCCTGCACAAAATGCTCGCCTCCTTGCACCCGCTTAGGTGCATTGCTTCTCCTGCGAACAAGCCATTCTCTGCTGCTGCGCACTGCTCCGCGCTGCACTGCAATTTTCCCAGACTGTCGAAGCTGTTTGTAACGTTTGCTGTTGTGCTCTGGCGTGCGTTGAGCAGCTGAGAGGATCAACGGTCCTGCCGCTCCGAATCTGCTACCAGCTGAGAGGATCAACGGTCTGGGGGATTCATGACCCGTGGCAGTCCATAACTAGCTTGCTGACTGACGGCCTAACCACCTGACGGCCTAACCACCTGACGGTCTGCTGGTTAGCGGAGCGCTGATGGCCGGCTGATGAGGCTATTCATCACTGGCGACCACGGCGGAGTCACTTCGGCTGCTCGAGCGCTCTGCTGCGACTCGTGTGCGACCACCTCGCGCGGCGACTGGCAGACGGCTTTTTTGTCTGCAACCAGAGCCTTTGGGCAGGCGAAATGTGACGTGCGACAAAGGCGACGTGCGCCGACCGGCGGCTTACGACAGGGGGCGACGGGCGACGGGCGACGGCCCGCAGCCGGGGATGGATCAGCCGTCGTTGTGCGTAGATGCGGAGCCTTCCGACAGAAGCGCTAGCGCTTCCCGCACAACCCGCCGCGTGGCGTACCGCGGGCCCAGCGCGAACACGGGGTCCGCGCCTTCCATCTCCGCCACCGCAGCCACAAACTCCTCCGCGGGTCCGCGTTGCGCGCAACCGCGCGATTTTCCGCTCAACCCTCTGTTTTTACGCAGCAGCGCGGAGCTCACGCCGCTGTTGCATTCCGCCCATTCATCCGCTTCCTCCGCATCATCCCCCCGTTCGCTTGGGGCGCCGTCCGCTTCCCCCGTGTCGTCTTCCGCCTCCGGAATGGCGCAGAGCGCGGGGGGCGGGCCCGACTCCACCAGCAGCTGCACCAGCGCCAGGCGCACGAGCTCGCGCTCCCCCTCTTCCGCCGCCGCCGCCGCCGCCGCCTCTGCCATTAGCCGAGACTCGGACCCCCGGTTTCTCTTACGCGCGGAGCGAATCTCGCGAATGAGCTGCTCCGCGGTGCACGGCGCCTTGCCCTGCACGCGCTCCTCGGGCGGCACGATTGTCTTTAATCTCTGCCGGATGTGGCGCGCCCAGCGGACGCGACGCGCCTCCGCGGATTCCTTCGGCGGGAAATGCCAGTGCTGCTGCGCGTCGTCGTCCTCGTCCCAGGGGTTCAAGTAAGACGTGAAGAGGCTGACGAACACCGCGAGACCCGTCGCGGAGCTGACTGCGAGCGAGATGGGGTCGGGCGCTACGAACAACATGATGGAGGATGTTCAGGAAAAGATGAGACAAGGGTTACTTGGGATGTTCGAGAGTAGTCAACGACGACAAATGGTGATTGTTGGTGACATTAATCTGCTTTGTGTTGTGGATCAGGACTGATGGGCGATGGCGCTGCTGATGCTGGTGGGGTGTGACAAGTCTCTGCAATCAAAGCCTATGCAACCAAGCACAGCTGTCGGCGACGCGCAATAAGGTCAGGCGATAGCGAAACGGCGCAGATGTTTTTTTCTTCCGCCACGTTGCTGTGCGGAAGGGGGCTGCCCGCTTTCTTGTGTGTTGTCGCGCGCTGCCCGCACCGGTCGCCTGCTTGCTGCCGGATGCATTTGATTTGCTGTTGGAGAACACTTGCGACAAAATGGACAGGGCACTTTCAAGGGAAGGTTTATGCAGGAAATGGCTGGGGAAGGCTGGGGAAGGGTGAGGGGCAAAAAAAAACAAACATCTGCCATGCTACCCGCCGAACCCGACCGAAACCATCCGCGGCGCGTCTTGTAAGCCTGAAGAACTGTAGCCTAGGCTTGGTGTTGGTTCTGGTTCGGAAGATGAACAGTTAGACGTAGCCGAGTCGCTGATACACAGATGTTTGCGGGGTGGAAAAGTGACCCAATCAAAAAGCAGCCATGGCGCACCGCATGTTGGTCTGGTTCGGTGTGGTGACAAGGCAGCTCGTTTCCGTTTCAGGTCAGGTAGGCAAGGGAGTCGCACCAGGTGATGTAAACACCCAGATCAGGTGGTTCTGTTCCAATACGCATTGCAATGGCATTCGCAACACTTCTCACATGAAGTACACAAATACATCATTTGCAGTTGCATACAAAAGTGAATGCACCCAAGTGGTGCAACATTCAATCGCCCTTAGAGAAGTGAGATATACCATACGCCTAATTTGTACTACCTAGGTTAGCATAACACTACCTAAACTCGGTATACCCATAGCTGCTTCCGTATCCACTCGCACCAAATCCAGTCGGCAAGTTATACGGGCCACTGTTCATCCCACCTGTTCCCCCCATGGTACTCCGCCCTCCTCCCTGCACCGTGTTACCCGGTTGGGCAGATGCAGTTATTCTCCCCGACGCATCGCTTTGCGGTTGCAGGAGGGCCGATTGGGACGAATCGTTGACAAGTGAGGAATCACGTGGGAAGGACGGGTCGTACGGCAACGATTCGTCTCGAGGCATGGAGGCATCCCGAGCCAAAGGCTGGCTTTCTGGGGCTTGCGTGTGAGCGTGTGATTGGTCGGGAGGAGCGAGAGGGTTGGAGGTGGGTGGAGCTGTGTATTGGGCGAATGAGTACGGTGGGTGTGGGGGAGGGTAGGGCTGGGAGGAGCTTTGGGGGTAGGGTTGGGAGGAGCTTTGGGGATATGGTTGGGAGGACTGCTGTAATGCATGATGGGTCGCCGCCGCGCCTGCGGCATAGGCTAGGACTGGAGGTCCCACCGAGACGGTAGAGAAGGTGGGATCATCTTGTTGCTTGTACATACTGCACAGGTGCATGGGAGGAGGGGGGGAGGAGAGGGAGCAGGTTAGGGGAGAGGTTAGTGGAAAAAAACTAAGGAAACAAGGGTGATGCTGCGTTGAGGGTATTGGTGCAGGGATGCGTGTGAAGGAACGGGTTGAATAGAGCCGAGTTGTGGGGAGGGGAGAGGGGGTTTTGTTGAAGGGAGTTGGGAAATTGGAAGAGGATGATAGTGGGCAGTGGTAACTGCGGCCATGCGACTCTTGAGTTGGGGCATGCATCGCACCACACACCATCCCCACCCCTCCCCACCACAGCGCCTCACCTGTTGGTGCCCTTGCCCCCATCAGGCAGGCAGCGCAAGGCACGGAAGACGTAGAGTGGAGCTGCCACGGCCACCACCATTGCTCCCACGGCCAGCACCATGGCTCCCGTCCACAGCAGCACTGCTGCGCTCTGCACCCCTGTTGCTGCCCCACCTACGTACTGGTGGGGTGGCAGTGGGGGCGAGGGAGGGCGAAGGAGGGAGAGGGTGGCAAGGAGTGGGAAAAGAAAAAGGTGACAGAGATGAAGTGACATCAGACCGCCAATCCCTTGCCTCCCACGGCCAGCACCATGGCTCCCGTCCACAGCAGCACTGCTGCGCTCTGCACCCCTGTTGCTGCCCCACCTACATACTGGTGGGGTGGCAGGAAAAGAAGAGGAATGAGAAAGGGGGGAGAGCAAGTGCATCAGCATAACCACCCCACAATGCGACCACCATTGCAACCACGGCTAGCACCATGGCTCCCATCCACAGCAGCACTGACGCACTCTGCACCCCCGATGCTGCCCCGCCTACAACTGGTGGTGGGGGGAGTGAGGGGTCGGGGGAGGGGTGGCCGTCAACCATGCATGAATTGCAGCGCTCGCCTCCCTACTGCCCATACCCCCCCTGCCGACCTACTGCTCTCTTCACACGCTCACCTTGGCAACACTAGAGGCGTGCGAGCATTTGGAGAGGGCAGCCACCAGCGGCACAGCCACCTACACACTCCTACCCCCTAGTCCCAACCTCCCCCCACCTGTCCACAACCCCCTCCCACCCGACCCCACCCCCTGCTCACCTTGGCAACGCTAGAGACGTGCAAGCAGTTGTAGAGGGCCGCCACGAGCGGCACGGAGCTGTCGAGGCGGTCAACGGAGATCCACGCCAGGCGCACGTCCCTCGCCACTGCTGCCGGCATCATGTCCAACGGGGGCTTGCCGTCCTTGCCTTTGGGACAGCCTGAGTCCGGACAGGTCACCTCGGGGAGTAGCTGTGGGTGTGGAGGGGGGAGAGGTGGGGGTAAATGGGAGAGGATGGCACGTCCCTCGCCACTGCTGCCGGCATCATGTCCAACGGGGGCTTGCCGTCCTTGCCTTTGGGACAGCCTGAGTCCGGACAGGTCACCTCGGGGAGCAACTGTGGGGGAGGGGGAGGGGGATGGGGAGAGGGGGGGAGATGGGGAAGGTTGGGGTGGGTGGATGGGAGAGGATGGCACATCTTTCGCCACTGCTGCCGGCATCATGTCCAATGGGGGCCTCCTGTCCTTGCCCCTAGGACAGCCTGAGTCCGGACAGGTGACCTCCGGGAGCAACTGTGGCGTGTGGGGAGGGGGGGGGAGGGGAGGGGGGAGGGTGGGAGAAGGTGGGGGTGGATGGCACATGCCATGCCACTGCTGCTGGCATCATGTCCGATGGGGGCTTGCCGTCCTTGCCCCTGGGACAGCCTGAGTCCGGACAGGTGACCTCTGGGAGCAACTGTGGGGGAGGGGGAGGGGATGGGGAGGGGGGGGGAGATGGGGAAGGTTAGGGTGGGTGGATGGGAGAGGATGGCACATCTTTCGCCACTGCTGCCGGCATCATGTCCAATGGGGGCCTCCTGTCCTTGCCCCTAGGACAGCCTGAGTCCGGACAGGTGACCTCCGGGAGCAACTGTGGCGTGTGGGGAGGGGGGGGAGGGGAGGGGGGGGGAGGGTGGGAGAAGGTGGGGGTGGATGGCACATGCCATGCCACTGCTGCTGGCATCATGTCCGATGGGGGCTTGCCGTCCTTGCCCCTGGGACAGCCTGAGTCCGGACAGGTGACCTCTGGGAGCAACTGTGGGGGAGGGGGAGGCGGATGGGGAGGGGGAGGGGGAGGGGAAAGGAGGGAGGGGGGATTTGAAGAGAGGAGATAAGTGGAGGGGGCGAGATGGTGGGCGGTAATGGATCCGCGCAGGCAGGCACTGCCGCTGCACAGGTAGTCGGGGGGAAGAGGGGTGGGGGGGGGGGGGAATGACTGGGATGGAGAGTGGGGTACTAGCATGTTACGCACGCGCGGTTACATCTTAGAGCTGGGGGAGGCAGGCAGGCAGGCAGGCAGGCAGGCAGGCAGGCAGGAATAGACGCAGTGGGAAGTGGGGAGTGGGATGCGGAAGGAGAGGGGTGGGGCCAAAGGGCAGAAGACACCACCTACTGTTGTTTGAAGGGAGGGGGGCGGTTTCTGAGAATTCTGAAACATGGCTGACAAGGAAGGACTACCATCCATGTCCCGTTGCTTACGCCTTTGAGCTGGCGCAAGGGGACGGAGTTGGGCGGGCAGCGACTTTTGATTCGACTCAAAAGTCACCCCGGACTACCATGTTCCGCGCGCTTACGTCTTTGAGCTGGCGGAAGGAGATGGAGTTGGGCGGGCAGGCAGTGTCGTTGTACAGATAGTCGGGGTGGGGGAGTGATGGGGATGGGGAGAGAGAGGGCGGGGGGGAAAGAGCCAGCACAAGCCTGCTGGTTGTGCAGAGGGGGGTACGGTACACTAGCATGTTCTACGTGCTCACATCTTTGAGCTGGCGGAAGGAGATGGAGTTGGGCGGGCAGGCAGTGTCGTTGTACAGATAGTCAGGGCCCGGGCCGAATGGCGAGCAGATGCCTGCTGACGCGTTCAGCCGGGAGAACAGCTGGTGGTGGGTGCGTGGGGAAGAGGGGGGCGGGGGAAGAGGGGGGCGGGGGAAGAGGGGGGCGGGGGAAGAGGGGGGGGGGGAAGAGAGGGGGGCGGGGGAAGAGGGGGGCGAAGGAAGAGGGGGGCGGGAAGAGGGTAAGAGGGGAGAAGGGGGTTGAGTGGGGGTGGGGGTGTGTGGAAGGGGGGAAAAGTGGAGCGGGCAGGCAGTGTCGTTGTACGGGTAGTCGGGGTCCGGGCCGAATGGCGAGCATCTACCTGCTGTCCCTGAATGTTGCCGTTGGTGGTTTGACACGTCTCAAAACACTTCTGTCATCATACCCCATGGCACATACACGTGACGCACCTTGGGGTATGTGCCTTGAATGTTGCCGTTGGTGAAGGTGATGACGTCATACGCAGTGGTGGTGGTCCCACCTACCTCTCCTTCCTTCCCCTACCCCCTCTCTCTCGTGTACCGCTGTTTGAGGCGCCTAAAAAATCAATGACGCACCTTGGGGTATGTGGGGCATGAAGTGTTACACCTACCTTGGGGTATGTGCCCTGAATGTTGCCGTTGGTGAAGGTGATGACGTCATACGCAGCAAAGCGGGCAAACCTAGCCGCGTCCCCCAGCTTGGTGGCGTTGAGGCACGGTACCCAGCGGCTGAATGCGGTGTTGAGGGATGGGTACAGCGTGACTTCCTTCACTGCTGATTCTGTGTCTGCGCTGACCCTGAGGAGACAAAAGAGGAGAGGGCGGGAAGGAGAGGGTGTGCAGTGGTTGAAGCCTACCACAAAGGGGTTGAATGCGGTGTTGAGGGATGGGTACAGCGTGACTTCCTTCACTGCTGATTCTGTGTCTGAGCTGACTTTGTGGGGAGGAAGGGGAATGAGGAAGCAGAGGGAGGAGAAGGTGTTCAGTGGTTGAGGCCTGCTACAAAGGGGTTGAAAGTGGTGCCGAGGGATGGGTACAGCGTCACTTCCCTTACCGCTGATTCTGCGCCTGCGCTGATGCTGAGGAGAAGAGGGGGAGGGTAGTGGAGAGGGGCGGGATAGGGGGAAGGAGGGGGGAGAGTGGGGATGAGGGTGGGACAGAAGGTGAGGAATGCTGTGGGCGATGAGTGGAATCGCATGGGAGAGAGAGAGAGAGTGGGCGCTCGTGCTAAGGTGAGGAAGATAGCCACGATGCACGAGGTGAGGAGGCTGTGCGTGGTGAGTGTGACGTCAAGGGATTCAGGGTGGATGGCTTGGGTACGGTGAGGGAGGCTGTGTGCGGGTTGAGCGGATTCAATGGGGATAATACAAGGATGGGTTTGGCGGGCACTCACATGACCGCGACGATGCACCAGGCGACAAAGTCTGTGAGGGTTGAGCGGACTAAGACAGGTGAGGAAGTAGCTTGGGCACTCACGTTACTACTGTGAGGAAGACGGCCACGATGCACCAGGTGACGAAGGCCGTGATCCACACGAGCGTGCACATGCTGTAGGGCACACGAGAAGAGGGGGAGAGGGGAGTGCGTGGTGGAAGGGAGGGTGGGAGGGAGAGGACACCGAGTGAAGATCGTTGGGATGGCGGGACGGTATGTAAAATGGCATGAGTGATGGCATGCGGGATGGCATGTGGGATGGCATGTGAGGTGGCATGTGAGGTGGCATGTGAGGTGGCATGAGTGACAGCTTGATGGCATGAAATTGACATGTGGGGACACGGGGGCTGCCGTGTAAGCTACGATGAATGAGAAGGGGGGAATTCTGAAGCGCCTCAGAAGTTGGAGAGTGGCATGTGGGAACACCGGGGGGCTGCCATATAAGCTACGGTGAATTAGAAGGGAGGACCGTGTGAAGCGCCTCAAAAGTTGGAGAGTGGCATGTGGGAACACCGGGGGTGCCATGCAAGCTACAGAGGGAAAGTGGAAAGCTGTTAGCGATGCAGGGAGGTAAGGAGGTAAGAAGGCAAGGAGGAAAGGCAGCAGCAGCAGCAGCTTACACGTGAGAGAAGGTGGCCCACTGGAGTATGGCGGCCACTGGTGGATGGATGGGCGTCATGGGGGAGAGGGAGAGGAGAGAAGAGGGGGGAGCGAGGGAATGAGTGAGGCACAAACGGGCGTGCATCTGTGCACGAGCGATTACAAGCGCAAGAGGGAAAAGTCGTTGGGGAGGGAGGGGGCGAGAGTGAGAGAGGTGGGAGGGGGAGGGAACCTCAGAGCGGGAAAGAGCGACAGGGAAGAAAGGGGGAGGGAGGGAGGGGAGAGAGGGGGAAAAGGAGGAGGTGCGTACCGACAGTGAGAACCACAAAGGCAAAGGCGATGCACCCCACGACAAACACAGTGGTGGACCTGAGAGTGTGGGAGAAGCACGAACCATTGAACAAGATGCCTTATAAACGGCAAGCAATACAATATATTATGCAAGTTAGTACAATTTGACAGGTTTCCACATTATATGGCAGGTGTTTTCCTTTGAGATTTTTTATTTGACTTTCCATCACCTCGCTGCCACTTATTATTTCCCCTCAAACCCACCCCCCGCTCCCTGCCCCCTCTTCTTCCCCTCGTCCAACGCACCCGTCCCTGTCCCCTCACCCTGCCACCCCACCTTCCCCCCCTTCCCCGCCACTCTTCCCTGCTCGCCCTTTCCTTCCCCGCGCGCCCTTTCCCGGCCCGCGCGCCCTTTCCCGGCCCGCGCGCCCTTTCCTGCCCCGCGCTCACATTTTCTTTCCGAAGTCTCGCAGCTCCGAGTCACTGTTCGTTATTTTGTCATTTAGCTCCAGCGCCGCTGACGTCACCCTCTTGGAGAACTCGAAGATCTGCAGCCGCTGCTCCGCTGCAGGGGGGGGCGAAGGCGAGGGGGGAAGCGCGGGGGGGAGAGCGGGGGGAGGAGCAGAGGAGAGGGGGAATAGGTTAAAGGGGAAGGGGGATGTGGAAAAGGGGGGCGAGGGGGAAGAGAGGGGTGGGGGGAGGGGAGGAAAAAGAGGGGATGGGGGATGGGGGGAAGGGGGAATTGTTGAGGAAACGAGAGGTGGAGGAATCGCGAGACGCCACTCTTGTAAACGAAACCGGAATATTTCAACAAAAAGAACAGCGGCAGGTGAGTGGGGTGAGAGTGCACGCACGAGAGCGTAGGCAAGGGGGAACGGGGAACAGGGGAACTGGGAACGGTGAGCGTACGCTGCAGGAGCTGCTCGTTGATTCGCGTGCCCGCGGTGACTTGGATCGCCGACGCCACGTTGTACACCGCCGTCGTCGTCGCGTTGGTAACCTTTATCGTGTAGTCGCCGATTTCGCCCAGCCTGTCGTTCAGCTGCACGCTCCCGGCAATCATCAAGCCGAATCCCGTGCTGCGACGGGTTACCACAAGACGGTTACAAACAGCAACATACGAAGGGAGAGGGAGTTCGTTATTGAAGAGCGAAACAAGGGCAGGGAAAGGGGAGAGAAGCAAGAAGAATGGGGAGAGAGCACAGGGTGAAAGGCACGAGGAAATGGGACAGAGAGAAGCGAAGGGAAGGGAAGGGATGTGCCGGGGATTGCACAATGGGAGGGAAGGGGCCTGGAGATACAAGAAAAGAAAAGTTTCAGCAGTCATGACAGGAAGGGACTGGGGGGCAAACGCAAAGGCCGCCGCTTGACACACGACAGCAGCTGTGTGCGCGGCCCCCTCTCCTATCCCCCAAGCTCGCCGCTATCCCGACCCTTGGCACATGCATCCCTGGCCGACCGTCTTTCCAATAATTCTTTCGCACGTTTCAATCACAAGCTTTTGAGTAGATTCAATACCAGTCAAAACTGTCCTGGATGCGACAAAGTAAGCATTGAATCGACTCCGATGCACCGTCCGACCTTTGTCAGGATTGGTTTCCCTCACATGACAATCATGCTGCCGACGACGAGCGCGTATAGAAGTAACGAGATGTTCTGCGGCGAGTACACGTGCGCGGCGGGGGTCGCGCATCTCGTCCCAGCGTGCGCGGCAGAAGAGGAAGAGGGACACGAGGAAGAGCACGAAGCCCACCCCCAGTAGCAGCCACGCGAAGCCGATCACCGGCGCGTATACCACGGAGAAGGTGACGGACTGGTGGGGGACGGGGAGAGGTTGGGTGAGGGATTGGGGGGGGAAGGGAGAGGAGGGTGTGTTGGATCGATAAGCACGAAACCCACTCCCAGTAGCAGCCATGCGAAGCCGATGACTGGCGCGTACACTACGGAGAAGGTGACGGACTGGTGGGGGGTGGAGAGGGGGCGGGGGAGGGAAGGGGAGGGGAGGGTGAATTGAGTCAAAGAAAGGGGAATGGGAGAGGGAAGAGCACAAAGCCCACTCCCAGTAGCAGCCACGCGAAGCCGATGACCGGCGCGTATACCACGGAGAACCTGACGGACTGGTGGGGGACGGGGGAGGAAAAGGGGAGGGATGAAAAAAGGAGGGGAGGGGTGGGAAGGGGAGGGGAAGGAGGGCTTGTTTGTTCGAAGAGCACGAAGCCAACTCCCAGCAGCAGCCACGCGAAGCCGATGACTGGCGCGTACACCACGGAGAAGGTGACGGACTGGTGGGGTTGCGTGGGAGAGAGTAGGGGAATGGAGAGGAAAGGAGTAAGGAAGCGCCGAACATCCCGATTGCGGATGCGGGAGAGTGTGACGGACTGTTGGTGCGCGGGGGTGGGAGGAGGGAGAGGGGTAAGAGCAAGACGCGCGCGCTTCTAGGGGCGGTGGTGCAGGGAGGCGACGGGTCGAGGCTCTGGGGAAAACAGGCACGCTGTCAAAGACGAAAGGTTAGTGGAGCTAAGCCTTCGACGCGTCGGTTCGAGCGGCGAGGGCATGCGGTGGAGTGGAGAGAAAATGCGGTGCAGAGAGGCGATTGGGGAGGAGAGAGAGCGATGAAACGAGCAGCGAGCCGACACCTTTGGAGAGAGTCACTGGGCGAAAGAGTGGAGGTGGATTGGGGTGGAGCGAGGTGAGAGGGTTGAAATAATGACGATAAGTGAGAAAGAAAGGGTATCGAGAAAACTGCAGTGTGTGGATTCCCGTACTTGGACATAGTTTTTATAAAACACTTTCATTATTCTCTTTCAAAGCATTGCCTGGTACCTTGCAAAGTGGGGTGGGAAGGATGCAGGACCTTTTCTTGGTTCTTGGGTTAACACAGACGCCAGAAAGAAAGAAAGAAAGAAAGAAAGAAAGAAAGAAAGAAAGAAAGAAAGAAAGAAAGAAAGAAAAAAAAGAAAGAAAGAAGAGAAAGGAAGAAGGAAAAGAAGAAAAAAGACTCATCTTAGAAAGTGCTGAATCAAGCGTCACTTACGGCCCAGTAGTCGTCAGACGACAGGTTCCATCCGCCGATGTAGTACTTAAACTCGTTAATCGGGTTTATGCGACGCGTGCGATCCGTCGCAAGCAAAATCGTCGCATTCGCCAAAACAGAGCCTGTCGCATTGACCACAGTCGAGCCGTCTGGCGACAGCACCGATTGCAGCAGATGCCGCCCTACCCCATGCTGCTGCCGCGTCTGCTGCCTTTGATAGTACGACTCGTGAAGCTCGATAAGCGATCGCGCGTCTTCCTGTAATCGATGCAGCGCGTCGGGAACATCTGCGTGGCGGTAAACGGCAGTTTTGACTGCTTCGGCTGGCCTTGCTTGCGAGATGGCGTGAAGGGTTGCTAAGATAAGAAGCAAGAACGAAAAAATGCTACTTCCAAGGCGCTTGGATGTTAAAGCGAGAAGGTCGCGCGGGAACGTTTGTGAACGGGGACGCATATTGGCCGATAGCTTCTGGGAAGAACGGAAACGAAGTATCTCCATGCTTTTCCTCGACTACTGCCGCTACGAGTCGGTTCCACTCAAGGGGAAACACGTGCGCAGGCACATACACTGGTCCCTCGTGCAGAACGTAAGAAAGTGTGGCGATCTAGCAGGGAAACTGGCAAAATGCACGCGCTTCCTAGTTTGAGTCGAACCGCATGCGAGAAATGCGGTGATGTGGACACCTTCAGAGCTCGATGCTAATACACTCGATCAATTTAGTCGCCGTTTCTTTCTTGAACGAGGTTCAAAAGATTTCTTGTGGAAATACTTCACCCCGACCTTGGATCGACCTCAGCTCCCAAGGCAGCCGATGAACATTGGGGCCACAGACAAGCGTGAAGCAGCAGAAGCAGACCCGCAACCAGAAAAGTAATGCTAGTGGATGGACGGAACTTCGATTGTGCCTTGCTGGGTGGGAGAGGGAGGGGAGATGGAGAAGCCAGAAAATGGTGAAAGCTTGGCAGGATGCCGACATTCTACGATGGACGGTCTCGATTGAACAAACATCGCGCACCGACATACACGTCCCCAGGCTACTTCGTTTTGGGAAGCTTGGAAGTCTGGCTGGGCTAGTAGCTTGGCACGAACCTCCTCCGATAAAAGCTCGAACTCGCTGCTGCCAGGTGCCCCACCGCTAAGCGAGACAGAACACACCACGACCAGGACGGCTCAGGCGTGGAGGCCGAGTCGCAATGCTTGGTTGAGGAAAGCGGCTTGCTGATGTGGCCCGAAATGTATGGCCGTTTGAAGTGTCTACCAATAGCATGCTCAAGCCTGTAACAGAAAAACTTTCTGAAATTGATCTACAGTTGTTTACCATCACATTTGAACAAATAAGTTGTACAGCGTGCCTTTTCAGGTTACAACATCCTTTTACTCCCATAAAGAACCGCCTTATTTCAAGATTGGCCTGGATATGTTGATTTTATGTATTTATTGGCTCAGGTGACTTGCCATATCTCCTGTAAGTTGTTCTCTAAAACTGGTTAATATTAGCCCACCATATTCCACTGTAGAAATATATGGTTTGGGGCGGGTGAGATGGTTCTGTTTTTAGAGCGGCCCCTTTACACGTTATAACGGGAACCATAATATCGCCTCCACACGAACCTCCAGACCTTGAAGAACCGCACCGCCGAAATCCTCATATGCATTGGCAGCGTCACTTACACGCAAGCCACCATTGCACATGGTGGGTCCTGCAATGCACTTCGTCACAAAAAACGGGACGCCCAAAAGCTGTCAACAATTGGCGTATCCAGCAGGCATGCGCACCCGCGCATGGCTTATGTTACGATATGAAGCTTTATGAGAAGGCATTCCTGTATGCTGCAGGAGCCGACTCTACCGAGTACGAAGTCGAGGAGTCAGAAGAGTCGAAGCGACACAGCAACCGTCTGACTAAGACCGATGCAGGCAGAAGCATTTGAAGTGAAAAGAGCGGGAACAGGTTTGAAACTGATTACCGCGCCGCACGGTTGGGAATGAATTTGAATAAAGGAATGTACCCCTTAGAGTACATGGCTAGTCTAGGTCGTTTCGCATTCCTTTGTATTTCTATATAAACCCAATGTATGCATGTCAAAGTTATATTGTTATAACTGCATGTAGTTGTAGCTTAGTGTAGCATTACATTTAACTGTTGGTGGTATACCTTGCGTCTCTCCTATTTGTACCCTTTGCTCAATAGTGAAACCCCTTCCTTTTCTCGACAATCTTCTCCTTACCCTCCTTGCCTAGGCTTCTAAGCCTAGGCATCCTAAACCTAAGTTACTCCTAAGTTACTCCTTATTCTAACATGCTATCAGAGCTAGTCCCGGTCTAAGGACCTCGATCTCTTCTAAGGAACATGGGCCCGCCCTTGTCTCAGCGCGAAATGCGCATTTTTTTTTTCTGTCTCGTCGACCCGCGGCCCCCGCGTCGCCCCGCGCCGTTTCCTCGCCACACGGCCCGTTCCCGTCGCCCGCGGCCCCCCCGTTCCCGTCGCCCGCGGCCCCCCCGTTCCCGTCGCCCGCGGCCCCCCGTTCCCGTCGCCCGCGGCCCCCCGTTCCCGTCGCCCGCGGCCCCCCCGTTCCCGTCGCCCGCGGCCCCCCGTTCCCGTCGCCCGCGGCCCCCCGTTCCCGTCGCCCGCGGCCCCCCCGTTCCCGTCGCCCGCGGCCCCCCGTTCCCGTCGCCCGCGGCCCCCCGTTGCCGTCGCCCGCGGCCCCCCGTTGACGTCGCCCGCGGCCCCCCGTTCCCGTCGCCCGCGGCCCCCCGTTCCCGTCGCCCGCGGCCCCCCGTTCCCGTCGCCCGCGGCCCTCCGTTCCCTTTCAGAATCACTAGGCAAGAATGAATGAACTAGCAGAAGTTTGGGTACAAATATGAAACTCTAGTTGGGGTTGTACCCCATATTGGCTACCCCACTACAGCCTACAAGCATAATACAGTTTAACACACCCCCATAGGCAAAGTGGGGGAGAACAAAGGGTCACAAGACCAGTCCAGCAAAGCAAAGCAAAGCCCAGGGTGGATCACAACGTCACCACACTCCGAGCACAAGTAAAGGCCACAAGGCCAGTTCACATGCAGTGCTAGATATAGTACAAGACAAACAACACAGTGATCAAAACCTAGCAAGCAAGCAACAAGATATATATAAAGTACAGTACAAAGAATGTCAAGCAGTGAGCAAGTGAGGAAACGTGGACACAAGGCCTAAAGAAGTACAGTGCCGCTGATGATCACTAGGCGGGAGCGCCTTGGTGAAGATATCAGCAGTGTTGGCCTTCGAGTCCACGTACACAAGCCGAAGCTGACCGCGCTGCTGAAGCTCTCGAGCAAGAAAGTAGCGAAGAGCAATGTGCTTCGTCCTATGCTCCAGTCTGTGCTCCTGACACAAGGCAAGAGCCGCCTTGTTGTCACCGTACAGAACTGGAGGAGAACTAGGCCGCTCTCCCAAGTCAGTCAGCAGGTAGGTGAGCCAGCGTAACTCCTGTGCAGCCATGGCTGTGGCGTAGATCTCAGCCTCACAACTAGAGCCGAGAACAGAGGAAGAGCGGGTGGACCGCCACGAGACAGAACCAGAGCCAAGGCTGAAGGTGTA